GCTACTAAACATTCACAAGTATACGTAATTTGCCTTAATGAGGTTACAAACCGTGAACGAGCTACGTATCACTTAGTGCTCAAAATGTATTTTTATTCTTCTAATAGACACTACAACAACACAATTTTCGGTTCCATTTTCACGGCGGTTTACTGAAACACAAACGCATGTTTATGAATATGTCTTTGAATTTGATTCTTACATTATTCTAATTGAATACATAAAGCGTGCCATTGAACAATTGTAGTCTACTAAAACAATGATGTGGTATAATTAATCCTAGTGTTTTATTCACTAAAATAGGCACTGAAAAAATAATAATAATGTAATATATTTGGACTTGCAAAGTCATCTTTACAATTCAAATATAATTCACACATATACACATATCATGATGCCTTTATCCTACTAGGGTAGACAGAGACTATGGGCCTCCACCTATTGCTATTTTTTGACATACCTGTTTTGCTTTTTCCAATTGAATCAGATATTTTAAATATGCCCTTTTAACCTGGCCTTTTGTACGTCCTGAATGTGGTTGAGATATAGATGCAGAGGTGGATCTATTCTTGTGTTTTCTACCACGGTCACTCAACAAAATTGAACAATTAAGCTACTAACATCAGTTCTTTTCACATGACGATGTCGCCTTTCACACACAACGTAATCTTTTACACTGATCTTATTTCAAATGTAACTGTGTCGACATTTCAAAATAAATATACGGTTTTCCGATACAAAACAACTAATGATAAAGCGCCATCCAATCTATCGGTCGTTAGCGTTTTCAAAAGTCCTGCCGATGGTACTTGGTTCGATGGCGGGAAACGGAATACTACAAGCTTAGAAATAGTCCATTGCACTTGTGGGAAACCTAGGGTCTATCCCAATAGGACTAAATTACATTGGCATTGACGTGTTTCACACAAAATCTTGTCCTTTCAAACTATATAACAAAATAAATATGCCAGATATTTTTTTATTAATTATTTTTTTAGTGGTAAAATAAAACTTCAAACCGATCAGTAGATAACACATACCAATAATAATATTTTATTAAAATTATAGGTAATGGGTTTGGACAATAATTGCCAGGTTGTAATTGTATAAATTAACTATAAACGTAGATAGATTGATTAATAAGTAATAGTAATACTGCGTACGACATTAAATAAGACAAAAAAAAATTAAAAGCATTACGTGCATTGTTGTCGTTTGGATTAAATCTGTGTTTTGTTAATTTTCGCTTTTTAATTGACTTTTTGTGGTTTTTGGTTCACTATAGTTACAAAAGTTGTTAATTAAATACCTTATTTTAACGGAGTATGTGATGTGTCTTCTCGGAGTTATTTTTACACATGTCGGAACTATATTATTGTTGCGACACTTTTTCAGATAAGTCAATGCATTTAGGGCATCGTAGCGACTTGTTTAGCTCTGCACATGGAAGAGATTTATCTTTATCGCGGATTTTTGTCATCCAATTAAAGCTGTATACCGATAAATAAATAACGATTAGTTAAAAGTTTTTCCTTTATTTTTATATACATTATAATATCAAATAATGGGACGAACAAGCGTGCGCCTGATGGTAAGCAACACACTGTTGGCCATCTGATTATATTGACCTTGGAAATTTATATCAAATTTTTAGTTTTCGCGGCTACTACACGGTGGAATTGAATCCATTTTTTTAGGATCTAATTCGTGCGTTTTTTTTCATTCAAACAGTTGAGAAAGCCATGATAAGGGACCTGTAAAAACCTCGTTCATTTAAAAAACTTTCGGAATTTATTTTCATTGCAATTTAATAAGAAAAGGTTTATATAAAATAAACAGTGCAGTTTTTACGAGATAATACTATTTTGTTATAGGACTTTTTAACCAACTTCAAAAAAGGAGGAGATTCTCAATTTTTTTGTTTTTTTTTGTGTATCAACCGATGATTTTTTTTGTTGAAAAGGGGGTACTTCAGCAGTGGCTCATTTAAATTTGAAAAAATATTCGACCTCTAATTGTGGTAAATTAGGGGTTGAATCCGGTTTATTGGGTTTCACACACTTTCCGTTAACCGATTTCAATAAAACTTGGCAAATGGAGCAATTCGTAAAGATGTAATTAAATAAAAAGTTACAATTATAGTCTAAGCTTTCAGTTGAGAATAAGTTCTCACCACACAATGAAAAAAAATCTTCTTACGTGCTGAGTTATATATATTTAATGCTCCCAAAACACCCAAATTAAAACCAAAAAAGTTGCCGAGACGGAGGTTAGTCTTTGAGATTAAAACGTCGTACGCGCACCTATCCACGCAGGGGGTCGGACTTAGAGGGTGGTCCGAAACTGCATTCTCATCACTGAGCAAATGCCGATAATATCCATTACTGGTCCCCAGGGCAGTATTGAGGATTTTGTTCCTTTTATTTAATTATTAAACAAAATTATCTTTGTTTACTTTGTAATAAGTCTCCGTCTGGTACGATGCCCCAGGGCTCGATGAAATTTTCTACCTTTATCAGACGTGTTAAAAAGAAAACTTATAATTGTTATTTCTATCTTGTATATTAAGCGTAGTTAGTATATTAGTTCCTTTATTTAATACCGTATATATACACGTGTAATTAATAAAACATGCGACTCCATATTAAATACAATATTCTTCTCTACAAACCACAATTGTGTATATTATGCTGAAACATTTTTTATATATGTGAAATTGTAGTTTAAAAAATTTTAAAACACATTATGTGACCTTTACTTTCCAGTCAAATCTTAAAACCTTAATACTATAAAATTATAACCTATTTTCAAGTCAGCGGGACAGTCTATTTTGAACATTTTTGAAACCAATATAGAAAATATGTCATAAGTTTTTGGTTTTTTACTTTTTTTTTATAATACCGCACACACTCTACATAGCCCCGCACTATGTCGTGGATACCATGGACATACACATAGATAACCACAAATTACACCCAAACTCACGAGAGAAATAAATGTAGGCCATACAAATATTTCTCCCGGGAATCGAACTTGGGAGCTCTGCGTGGCAGTCAGTCAAAGGAGGCAGTTGAAGATTTCAGTATAACTTTAATTATTCCGACATTTCGGTAAGATTACACGTTCTATAACTACATGTCACGGGTTGACAAACCAGAGGCAGTTGACAGTTTTAAGAACAGATTTATCTACCACTTGCTGTCAACCCTCTTATCGACTTTAATTGAGAAATCACAACTGTATCGATACGTGAAATAGAAGTCGAACAATTTTCGCTGTTGTAAGCACTAAGCGCTGCGTGACATCGAAATAAGGATAGTCGTCGACAGAGAAAGAGGAGGAGGAGAGGAGGAAGAGAGGAGGAGGAGAGGAGGATGAGAGAAGGACGAGAGGAGGAGGAGAGACATATGTCCGTTCGTAAAGCTGTCAATTCCTGCGGGTCAGTCAACTGGTGACCATAGCGCGTGTAATACAAGTCACAAGACAACAATAACAATATTAAGTTTATTGAATATTACGATCTATTAGTAGTACTATATCATAATATTCAATATTTTTTTGTCAAATTACTCCACTAGTTTGTTATCATTATTAGTAAAAAAACAATACGAACACCAAGAAAAATTTCTTCGAACCGGCAAAAAAACCAAAAATAAAGATCTTCAACAAGTACATAAAAAAAAGCATAAAGTTTGCTGATTCGTTCCGTAGCTCAGTTGGGAAAGCGTCAGGCACGGTATGCTGAAAGCGCTGGTTCGATCCAGCCGGATTGAAGGAATTTTTCTTAGTATTCAATCTTTGTATTAATAATTATAACAACAATAAGAAGTCATATACAGTGAAAATGTCATGTTTGTAATATTTAAAAGTACTAGTAGCTTCTTGTGAAAGAGTTCGTCCAGGGAAGTACTGCCACCTTACCAATTACTGCAGCCAAGCAGTAATTACTGCGTTTCGAGTTGAAGGGTGAGGGTGCTGGTGAAATTACAGACAATCATGGGACTTGTCAAATGTTTCAGTGCCACAGGCGCAGTGCCGGTGCCCTTCAGACTTTTGCGATTTAAAGCTTTGAATGGCACCACCAATCGCTTACCATCAGATGCATGACTTATTTGTCCGTCACTTGGTTTCATAAAAAAATAAGGCGCAAAAGTGAAAAAAGTTGATGAAAATATCCCATTAATTGTGTGATATACTCTAGCGTCCCTACACCTGGTTCCATACCTGTCAATCGCCCCTACTTTCCTAACCATAATGACGCACAAAATGCGTTAATAGTTAACGTATTGTAGGGACCCGCATTTTTGGCCATTCTATCGATTAGTTTGTCCATTTATTCGAGTATGGTCGATTTGACCTTTCCGTCTTCCTCAATCTTTAGGCTATTTAGTCTAGGGTGGTATCCGCCGAACATCTTTTCAATGATTTTAATTTGAATTACGGATTTTAACAGCGGTTGTAAAATTTTATCACTTTATCATTTGCAAAGTTAATAGTATTGAATATCATGGTTTTTTTTTCATATTCATAATATTTTTGTGAAAATACGCCACTATTATCATATAACAATGTTTAATTATTACATTCCTTTTGATCATGAAAATAGCATTAGTTTTATGTACAATTATATTTTTTTGTGTTTTTATAATGTCGAAAGAAGTTAATAGAATATTAGAACAGAAGAAAAAGACGCCTCCAGAATTTTAGTCGTTCAATGCATTATGTAATGTATATATGTTGATTTTTAACTGGCTTCAAAAAAAGAAGGAGGTTCTTAAAACACGACTGTGTGTTTTTTTGTATGTATGTTATGCGACAACTCCGCATGTGTGAACCGATTTTGATGATTATTTTTTTGTTGGAATCCAGTTTTGCGTACTTTCCGGTAAACAATTTTAATAAAACTTGGCAAATAGATGTAATTTCACGAATTTTTGAGGTATTTTTAGTACTTTTAATCTGCTGACCCTAGATTTACTTTGCCTAATCTTTGTTCTCAGGGCAAGACCAAGCGAGAGCAGTCACTCGAAGAGTTAAGGGCTCACATACACAAGTTTTACGTTCCCCTCGGCAGACAATTCATCGTGCTCTTCCCTGAAGGTGGATTCTTACACAAGAGGAGAGAAATTAGCCACAGGTAAGGATATTGCAGTTCCAAGCAACAATAAGTTTTTATAGGAATAGACTGAGTATATTGTAACTAGCAACTACTACAATAATTTATTTGGAGTAGTTTTGTAATTTGTACTTATTATTAATAATAATATGGTGGCAGTAGAACTCCTTGTGAAAGAGTTCGCCCAGCGAAGTACTGTACGTACCTACGTTCCTAATGTGAGCATTAGTAGGTATATTCCGGTTTTGAAGGAAAAGGTTGCGGGTGAAATTACTGGCAGTCACAGGGTAACGGGCGCAGTGGCCTCACAGATCTTTGTGATTTAAAGCTCTGAGTGGCACCGCAACTGTTATGGACAGGCATGTCGTTTATCACCAGGCACACGACTAGTTCATACCGTCGCTTGGTATTATAAAAAATAAAATATGCAAACTTCACTTTTTTAATTCTGTTGGTAAGAGCTGTGGCCCCAATGTGGCAATAGATCTTGGTTCGAGCCCAGTCATAGTTTCGATTTTTTCCCGTTTACTTACGGTATTACCTGCAGTTTTGGTAAATATTGTGTATTACCTTTAGTAATATCTAATGATGCTGTGACAGTATAAGTCCGTACTTAATAGATCATGCTTAACTGGGCAGATTCGCAGAGAAGAACAACTTGCCCAAGCTAGAATACGTCTCGCTGCCGAGGGCTGGAGCTATGAAGGTTATAATGGACGAAGTAGGACCGCAAATGTGCGATGCTGCTAGCTCTTCAAAAGCTGAAAATAACAAAGGTATAGGTAAGTACAAAAATCGTATTGGAACTAGATCAACGGGCAAGAATATTTACCCAGGATGCTGCGAGAGGCCATTGAAAACATCCTAATTTCAACAGGGAAGATGGTTTCCCCGTACCACTAGTTTGGGATCCAGTATTTCCTCTAATGAAAAATCCCAAACAGACATAAGACTGCAGTACTAATTAATATGTTTTAGTTTATTCTAATTTCTATTAATAATGAATAATAAATTGAACTTAATAAAAATTCATTCAATAAAATAATTTGTAAAACTTAATGTAGCGTAAATTGGAATGATTTCTTTGTGAAATTAAAAATAAGGTATTTAATTAATAACTATTGTAACTATAGTGAAAAAATAGGGTGGTTTGCATCAATATTAGACATAACTGGTTGAAGACTGTACCACCTCAGTCAACCGTGACCATGGGACCTGTAAAGGGCCCGAAACGTCGGTTTGTTTGAAAAAACAAATATACGCGATTTAAATCCGGAAAAATAGTTTAATTTCCTATGGGCAAGAATACTTGTTAAAAATTGGACTCTCCCAAAATACACAAGTAATTGTGAAGTTTCCGTTATGAACAAGTGTTACTATGCCACTTCATCGGGAAGGTCGTTTATAATAAGTGAACATTATCGTCCCAACTGCATTACCTTAATCAATAATAACTTATTACCAATCTAACATTCCTTCAACAAAAAACCTTCTAAAAAGGGTATTTCGCCTAAGCACAATCCGTCCGTACTGTATCCCTGTCTGGGGAGAAATTTTAAAACTAAATTCATAAAACTAGAAAGAGCTCACAGATCCCTACTTATGCATTACAAGTATTATAGGTTTCCCACAACGGAGCTTTACATTATTAGTAATCTTCTTACGGTTCGAAAATTATATATATTAAACTGTATCCGTAAAGTACACAAAACAATTGATTTTGACCCGCTAATTTTGAGGAAAAGAAGAAAAAACTTTGTGTTGCCATATCATACTGTACGTACCACTCTTGCTAGTAAACAATTTAACCGACAGTCCTCTTATCTCTTGAATAAAATGAATATAGTACTAAATCTATACCCGTGAACTTGTGTGACTTGAAATCTATGCTCACAAAGTGGTTACGATCATTGGATTATGAGGATATAGAACGTCTTCTAGAAGTGCTGGAATAATCTACATGAAAAATATAACACAAAATCCCTCACACGTTACTAACATATTTGTTGTTGTACATATGTGGTATGTATATGTATGTATATGTATATGTGTGCATATGTATATGTATATATGTGTATTGTATATATGTATACATATCTTTATTATATACATTTGTATGTTACAATACAAAATTAAATATTACAAACTTGCAAACCCTGTTCATTCAAACACACCACCACACACAAAAAAACACACTTCACCCACATCCATACACACTCACTCACTCACTCACTGAGTGTAGACAGAGTGAGTGTATATTATTCTTTGATATTCATCATCTTTTGTTAATTTTAATTTTCTTTTCTTTGTCGTTTTTACAAATTAAAGTCTGTATTTAAACTAATTACTCAATTTAAATTTAGATATTGTTTAGAATAAGGAAGAGCGGGGATCCCTAGCACAAGTCTAATTTATTACTTAAAAGAGATTCTCGAGCCACAAAATTGTAAAGATTGTTTCTTGAAATAAAAACATTTTTGATTATATTTTTGAACATTTTTTAAATCACTGGACAGGGGGTTTTCTTGCAGGAGAGGCTTTAGGACAACATCTGCCATGTTCTACTAATGGCAGATGGAAATTTCACTCTATCGCAAAGGTTGTTAACCTTCTTCTATCAACCGTTCTCCTACAGGGCTACCATCGTGTATTATGTACACACACCGGCACATTGTATGGAACAAAAACAAAATGAGAATATAAATAGTAACATTAATAATAATTCTTTATTGCTCAAATAAATGACATTGAAAATTACAAATTACAAAGGACATATACAAAGGTGAGCTTATTTCTAGAAGAGATCTCTGCCAGCCAACCCTAGCCATGGTGAATAAACTAAATCTGCAGGACATTATTGTAGAATCCATTTATTAAAATTCAAATATAAACATAATTATTAATGACTACAATATAAATATGGCTGTACTTGGTGCGCACTATAAGTTTCCGGAATGAATAAGGAAAAGATACTATAAATGGTCAGAAATTAATTTATTGTTTCTCAAAATATTCTCCGTTAGCGTTAATGCACTTTTTCATACGAATGAACCAATTTTGAAAACATTTGTGCCAATCTCTGACACATATTTTTCATACTCTTCGACAGCCTCTTCAGGTGATGAAAATCGTTGACTGCGTAACTGGTTCTTCATTTTTGGAAATAAATAAAAGTCATAAGGTGCCAGGTCGGGACTGTACGCGGGATTGCTCATAAGGTCAAAGTTGTTCACCTTCAAAAATTAATTTATCTGTCTGGCCGTGTGAGAACTGGCATTATCGTGGTGCAAGATGATACGGCGTTTGCGGTTATTTTTACGGAGTTTGTCAATAACTTTCGGCACACAAATGGTCGTACACCAATCACTATTCACGGTACAACGATTCTCCAAAACAACAGTAGCCACGTGTCCAGTTTTATTACAAAAAGGAGGTTAGTTGGTTTTGGCTTATCTCGAAAGACCCATACGCTCATAACTATAAATTCATGTTTTGTCACCTGTTACTATGTCCCTCATCAAATTTGACGCCCCTTCGTTGAATCTGGTAAGCATGGCATTGCACCAAGTGACGCGATCCGTTTTATGAGCCTCAGTCAATTGTGTGGGATCCACCGAGAGTACAGCTTTTTCACACTCAAATGTTACTGTAGTATTGATTATATTTGACTCATGCCTATGCTTGAAGATGCCCGAATCTCATGGTATATCATATGCCCGTCTGTTTTGATCATACGGCGCACAGCATCGATGTTTTTGTTGTTCACAGCAGTGGACGGGCGACCATCACGAAATTCGTCACTGAGATTCACACAACCGCGTTTGAATTCTGTAAACATGCTATAAATAGTCGCCTTGCATGGTGCTTCATCGCCAAAAGCAGTTTGAAAGTGGTAGAAAATCATACTACGAAAATTTTCACGAGTTAAATCCATGGTGATGTAGACAACCAACTTCTAAAATGACACCACAATATAAAAACAAGTCACAGTCAGATGAAACAAACTGTATTCTACAACCAAAGAAGTTCCATTTTCAAATGATGTAATTATTTTTTAAATATTGTTTATGTAAGTGGCCAGTTCCGGAAACTTACAGTGCGTCCTATGTAGTATAAACCTACATAAACCTTACAAACATACACAATATATATTATCATCAAAACAACTTATTAGTTTGTATTTATGTTAACCATTAATTTCCGAGTTTAACAGCAGGGAATATTTATGCTTAAATAATTAATTAAGAATTATATAAAGTAGCTATTGAATTACTCGTAATGTCTTTTGACATCGACTTAGTATAAGCCTATTCAACCTTTAGTAAAAAAAGTGGAAATTAAAGATCATTATTTTTTTTAATTTTGTGACTAAACAGAAACGGCTGAAAGTTTGAAAAGATTAATGAATCAGTCAGTTGTGACCATAGGATCTGTAAAGGGCTCGGAACGTTAGTTTGTTAAACGAAAAATAAATATATACGCTATAATAATATGGATTCGAAAAACTCATTTTCATTTCCTGTGTGTAAAAATTGCTAAAACCCAAGAACTCGATATTGTTTAATCAAAGTTTAATTCAATAAAAAAAATATTTTGTAACAATTTTTTTATAAATTTACAAGGCCGCAAAATCAACCTTGAACCACTTGGTAAGCCTCTATTAGTAGTAAGTAAAAAAAGACTAATCGTCTTTTTATCATTCATTTATTATTTTCAAATTAACCAAAAAAATAAAAAATAAATAACCGACCATACTACGAAAAAAAAACACTGCATTATTTTGAGGGTGTCACGAGTGATGCGCTAAGGGCAAATTTATTAATATAATTTTCAAATTTAGAAACTTGTAGTGCTGCAGTGGCACGACTACTAATTTTCATACAATATTCAAAAGTTTAATTGTAGCGCCACTGTCGTGACACAAACAAAAAGGATCCAATCCACATCCAGTAACTTCGAGATATGGCGGTTTGAGGTTTAATAGTATTTCTCTTTTTTTTTAAATTAAAACTTATAATGTCATGTAATAATGTCTCTCCAGTAATATTTATTTATGTTTTTATGTTGTAGTGTTTTTGCTGGTGTAAGGGTCGTATTCTAGAACTCTACTCAATGCTCAAGTCAGGATTTGAGTATGGTTTAAAGCACTCGAAATCATACTCAAGTCCCTGCCATTAGGGTCGTAGTACCAGTGCTTGTGTTTCCAGTGCAATCCTGACTTGAGCACTGATTAGAGTTCTAGAATACGACCCTTAGAGTTAGGTTTTAGGAACCGTTTACTACACTTATCTCATTTTTTAATTTTTTTTTTAATTGTATCCTTTTTACTTAACTACGTCCAATTACGGAACTTAAAATTAACAGAAATGGAAGTAATTTGCTACTCCGCGAATTCGGTGGAGGTTAAATCATGCAAAATAGCTACGTATAAAAAAACTGACCTCAAAAGTTCGTGATATTATTTGCCAAATTATATTGAAATCGGTTACCGGAAAGTACGCGAAACCGGATTCATCCCCTTAGAGGTGGAATATTTTCTTCTAATTTAAATGGGACCAATACTGAGGTACCTTTTTTCCAACAAAAAAAAAATAAAAAAGCGGTTCGCAAATCTCAAAGAAAAAAATACTGTCGAGTTGAGAATCTTCTTCTTATTTTGAAATCGGTTAAAAATAGCTAGCTATGATTTAATCTCCGCTGTGGTCGCGTAGAAGCAAATTGATTTACTTCCATTTTTATTAACACGGACTTCCGCAAAGTAACGCCTGAATCTATTAATTAACTAAAACCTATTGAAGCGCTACAGATGCGCGATTGCCGCGCCATAGTCGCGCCATTGCTTGAAGAAGCATTAAGCCTCTAATTTGAAGGTGCCCCAAATGTGCCTGTAAAACCTACAAAAGTCACACAACACAGTGCTCCGTTTTGGGATAATAGTAAATAAGTTTATATTCAGACAATTTCCTCTTTGCTTACAGAAAACAATAATCGGAAAACTCACAAGATGCTACTTGAGACGACTGTTGGGGAATGCATCGATTGGATCCTTGATGTAACTATAGCCTACCCAGACCGCATTCCATTGCATCTCACAGACATCGTCTGCGGCTTTAGGAAGCCGTGTAACACGCATATACACTACCGGCTGTACCCTAGTACTGAGGTAATAACAGTAAAGTATAACTTAAGCAGGTGCTTAAGTGAGACCGCGACGAAATCGAATGGATCGAATATGTGTAACTTCGGAAGAAAGACTTGCATCTCTTGTTAAATGTTTGAGTATGATATGCATTGAACGGGCGCCGAGTACGGCACATATTCGCATGATAATGAAAGGCGCGTTGGGACGACCAGTATTGTGCGAGTGCACCGCGAGATAATGCGAATGTGTACGTCTGTACACGGCGCTTGGCAGTCGCGCACACATACAAGCCTTTCTGCTACGCTTGTATGGAGTTACCATACTAGTCTTGTTATACTATGATTTTTATCAAGATCGTGCAAGCTAGCGATCGTTAATATTTGCCTACCGCAATGGGAATCCAAGACGTGGTATATGTGTAATGACTGACAACCTCGATGGCCCAACGGTTTGCACTATAGGCGCTGGATGCGGAGGTCCCGGGTTCGATTCTCGGGAGGACCAATTTGGAAAAAAACGATCTTTTCTAAATCGGCGAAATCCGTTGCTCTGGTACTCATAACACGGACTAAATAGTGCAAGCTAGTGCTAGCTTCTGGCACATCGTTACGAATATTTTTATGTTTCGAAAAAAAGGGCCCAGTTCTCAAAATTTAAACATTTGGATTTTTTACGTGTCAAAAAATATGCCAGTTAGTATTTTTTACGTTACTAAAATGAATATTTTCTCTTATTAATTATGACCTTAATGACGAAGTTTTTGTTCAATAGGTACCTACAGACGCAGAAGGCATGACTCAATGGCTGTACGACAGATTTATAGAAAAGGATAAAATGCTAGAAGAATTTTACCGTACCGGCCAGTTTCCTTCAAACGTTCCGTATGTAAAACGACGAGTTAGACAGGACAATTTACAGTATATGATACTGCATCTTTTCTTTCTAGCGTCTACTTACATACAGTATCGAATGCTTTGTTACTTAGTGTGTTGGTTCTTTTAACACAATTGAATGTTTACAACCAGACGTGAAAATTTTTAATGAGCCAAGTTCATGAATATTTGAAATCTGTTCATCATGTTATAATTTTTTGTCTAAATGTTGCTATAAAGAAGGAATTTGATGTATAGGTATACTAAGTATGGAAAATCTTGGTAATATTGCTACAGTACCAAGAAATATGCTTTTTGGGTCATTAACTAACATTACGTTAAAAGTATGAAAAATGGTTACAAAATTTCGTGTCTGGTTGTTTGTGTTATCAATAAATGATAATAAAAGTTTGTACCAATGTAACATTTGCACTTTCAGCTATTGATTGATTACTTTTGTTGGCTCAGATTTTTCTGAAGGAGATGTTTGGGTTTTGAAATAAAACATTTGGAACTTACTGGTGCACTCCCGTGCAGAGTTGCTTAGATACTATTAGTTGGGAAAAGTAAAAAAACTAGTCAAATTCGTTTGTTAATTGAGATTATGTTAAATACAGTTTTTGAAACAGATGTGATTAATCGAGTTGCATTTTTATACTATTAGCCAATAGTTGAAGGTGAACATTTACTAGTGGTGCGTGGCGAAGTACATTTTTTTTATTTTAGTTCGACTGTTCTATGTGTAGATTTTTCATTACATTAGTTTTATAATACGTCCATACAACGTTACCTCGTTTGATTCGTCGAAAAAGCTCGACGGTTTTAGTGCCGTGGGCACTGATGTTAGTGACCGACTTTGTGAACATTTGGTGACCAAGAGCACTTTCCTTAGTGAGAGTATTACACTATATATAAAGTGTATCAAAGCGTGCTGTGACATACAAGTCAATATGTAAGTTTTCTTAGCATAGGTCTTGTGCTTGGCGCTGAACCAAATCTCAAACCCTTGTGACAATAAAAAGAAAAATAGATAAAAAAAATCTCTGTAAATTTCGAAACACCATTCACATTTTAGTCAAATTTTCTCGCTTCAATGATTTAATACTGAATATAAAAACGAATTTTGTACAGAACTCTTGAGAGTTCTACATTTTAAAGTACTTTTCAAAATTGACATTTGAAAAAAATTATGAATAAAATATTCTGCTTCGGAAGTTCATAGGCATCTTAAATTTTAAGTTTTATTGAATTGATATTCAATTAATTATTTAATTATTATCCAAGGCTGGTAGCTGTAAAGGTATCTAACTGGGTGACGACATACTTAAGTTTTCTCATAGATGGCTACGGCTAAAAAGTCGTTGAAAAAACCAAATACAAAGACACAACAACAAACATAGAAAAATTCGTGAGGTCCGCTGGTTCGTTCCGTGGCTTAGTTGGTATAGCGTCTGGCATGGTATGCTAGTATACGTCGGTTCGAATCTGGCCGGATCGAAGGAATTTTTTCTGTGTGTTCGATCTTAGTATTAATAATTATAACAAACTAGTGGAGTAATTTCACATAAAAAATAATTGAGTATCAATTCAATAAAAATGTAAATACATTGAATAGTGTCATCTCTAGCCAGGGCTGGTAGCTGTAAAGGTATCTAACTGGGCGGCGAAATACTTAAGATTGCTCATAGATGGCGCTACGGCTAAAAAGTCGTTGAAAGAACCAAATACAAAGACAAGATCTTAATTTTTTTCAAAAATCATTTTTGGAAACAACTAAAGGTTTTTCAAGTCTTGTTTAACGTCTAAATTAGATTAAGTCACTATAGTAATAAGGTTTACACTATATCATAAGGGTCACTTTTTACTTTGTTTCATACGCAAAATGGGTACGTTCCTTTTTTAATCTTTAGTGTTTATTGTACAGATATATTCAGATGTGTAATTTCTTGGTGTCCTGTGGTATAGATGTGAGATAAAAAATATTAAAATGCCAAAACATGTTTACCGTAAGTGCCTAGGCTTATTAAATCAATGGATGTAGGAAGCTTATCAATAATTGTTTTGCACATTCTTTTTAATTATAATAACAACTTTTCTTGCAGGCTGTATTTTTTTAATAAAAAAAAACAGTCATTTCTTAATGTCAACAAAATGCGGCATGGATTATTTTGTTGTGTGCATTGGGTACGTGTTATAATTTAGTTAGCCTATTATAATTGCCATGTAAAGAAATATGACACTTCAGCTTATATTTTTAGGTATCAGACATTTTAAACATTATCCGACCAAGTTCCTCATTTCATGTCCAAAAGGGTGCCTTTTAAAATTGCCAAGTTCATTTTTCAATATTTTCGAACTTGATTAAACTATATTCAATAGGAATGAAGCACTTATTTAGTAAGGTACGTCTGATTAACATTTTCTTAGTAATGTTAAGAAACAAAAATAAATATTTTGTAAAGATATTCTTGCAATGGTATAATTTGTATACATTAATAATCTTCTTTTTATCGTAACGATAGCATGTACTATACTGTCGTGGCCCAGAACTCAGCCACGCCGACCGCGTCTCTAGTGGCCACCGTTATACCGCCATTAAACCTCAAGCGTGCATGTAGAGCACGATATGAGATGGGCCATAATTTGAATCGCACCTAATATGCTGAATAATAAAAGTTTGTCATATTAGCAACTTAAACTCCTTTCACTATTAACACAATCGCCACACTTTTATACAGATTAAAAAACGAACTTTGGACGTATCAAATAAGAGCTATTAAGAAAATTGTGCAGCAAAATGGTCTACTTTATCACGAACACTAGATAGACACTTTATATTTCCGTATATCGATGTATACTGTTGATAGTAGATACCTAGTATATTTATATATCAATTTTATCTTATTTCAGATCACATAATTTTTTAATGTTCTGTGTACAGAGTAGTTTGTAAAATAGTAACATACCCACATGACTAAGTTATTAGCATCATAGACAACAATTTTTGTTCCATGACTTTTTACAAAACATATTATTATTCTTTTATTAATATTATTTTGGATATCTATTTTAGATTCTCGCCTGTCCCAAGGACTGAAAGAATTCTCTGTTAAATTTCAAAACACCATTCGTATTCGCTTCAACGAAAACGAATTTTGTACAAAGAACTCCTGAGAGTTCTAAATTTTAAAGTACTTTAAGGAACTGCCTCCGTGGCCGAACGGTTACCATGCCGGACTGCCACGCAGAGGTCCCAGGTTCGATTTTCGAGCCGGTAGGCATATTTGTATGACTTACATTTATTTCTCTCGTGAGTTTGGGTGTAATATTCTAGAATAAAATATTTGGCTTCGCAAGTTTATAAGCATCTTATTTTTTTCAAAAACCATTTTTTGAAATAACCGAAGGTTTTTCAATTTATTTTTATTATTAGGGTGGCTTCATTGTGATCACCACTAATTACAGTTCGGAGTCAAGGCCAACAGCATTAAAGAACCCAAGGACTTTCCTGGCTCCGGTAGTTTTTATATCCTCTGGTTGCGGCCTGTGCCTTCCCAGTATGGAACTTCGTACGCCCGTCAGGGGACAGCACTGAGATGCAGAGGAGTTTCATCTGTCATGTTCATGTGGCAGAATCTACACTCTCTCTGATTGTTCAAGCCACAATGTCCTGTTAAGGCTCTAGTTAACATTCTGGTGCTATTCCTGTTCAGTGATAGACCTTGTGATAAACTATCCAAAAATAAACTATTTAATTTTTCTTGTTTTTTCTTAACACTTTGGGAATAAGGTAGTAACTTCAAACGTGCAAGCGCCCTCACCGACGTCCCCCATCACCACTTGCGTTTTGCATTGAACTGGTATTTACGCTAGCGCTTTCTTTTGTTGCCGTTCGGAGTTACCACCGTTTAGAGCAGGGTTTCTTAACCTGTGGTCCATGGACCCTTAAGGAGTCCGTGCAATGAACGCCACGGGTCCATGTTGAGTCTACCTAACATTCATAAAAACATTGGTGTACAATACGTGAGTAAATAGATACAGTGCACATGACCTTTTTGACCTTTTTTGCTGTCCATTATAGGAGCGAGACGCGTGTCAATGCAACCCGCGAACCTTTCTTGTTTTATTTTTTATTTATTATTATAAATGTTATAAAAAGCACACTTATTAATATAAAACTGGCGGCACAACAAAAACGCGTAGGTTTATTCGTGTACCGCAAGAAGTTTACCTTTTAATAGTAGTAGACCTCCATGAAAAAGCGTTCGGCCGGGAAAGTACTGCCACCTTACCTATTTCTACCTCCAAGCAGTAACGTCAGCATTACTGTGTTCCGGTTTTGAAGGGTAAGGGTGCTGGTGAAACAGGCACATAAGACTTGTCTCAGGGTGACGGGCACAGGGGCAGTGCCCCTCAGATTTTTGTGATTTAAAACTCTGAGTGGCACTGCAACTGTTATGGACAGGTGTGTAGCTTACCACCAGGCGTATGACTTGTTCGTCCCGTCACTTGTTATTATGAAATAAAGTTCTTCCTCGTCTTTTCGGAAAGGGTTCTTAGACTCTTTGAAATTTTGAGTGGGTCCATGACTAGAAAAAGTTTAAGAAACCCTGGTTCAGAGCGATCGATTTGGATATTTTTAGTTTTGTTCGAAAGTCATGTAACAAAAGATGTTATTTATAATGGTAGTAATATAGTTCTGTGTGTTTGTTCTTATTTCACAAATAATCCAGTATTTTAAAATGTGGTCCTCGACACCGTCACCTATTTTAGACGACATAATCAAACGAATGCTTAATACGTCTTATTATAATTATAATTTCTTTAGTCATTTTTCATTGGCACAGAAAAGTTTAAGAATATATTAATTTTTTAACCTTTCGGGATTAATGTGGGCAATGAATTATATTTTAAGTTCCAAGTTGTTTTTGTTTTTAAGTTCTAGTTAAGTTTGTCATTATAGTTAGTAACAAATTTTGTGATGCTTGTATGAATCACGTCTTAGTATAAACGGACCAGGATTACAGGTAATGAAATAATTAAAAACAGGCTTTCTTTTGGTCAATTCAATATTAAATATTAGCAGCATGTTTTTATTGAAGAATTTGTTTTATGAAATAACAAAACAAATAGTTCCTATGTGCATAATAATAATGTTTGAATTGGGATACACGTGTATTTGTTGCTAATGGCAAACGCATGTTTTCATTCCAGCTAATGAAGTAAAGATAAATAAAGCTTTAAAAAAATAGCAAATATAAAATCCTTTCCTGGAATTTACTTCGCTATACACCGTTCAACCATTTATTTAACTTTTGACAGCTCGAATTCTAATCAATTAGTGATGTAACGCGTTTCCGATTCGGTTTTTTTATGACAATCGATTTTATTCATGAAGAAGTTTAAATCGTGAATGTGAGCGGGTTTGAAAAAAAAAAGATATTGTCCGATTGGCATCGTGATGTTGCGTTTGACAACTTGTGTGCTTAAGAATTTAAGAAGATTCAAGTTATGATTTCCGCTCATATGGAGAAGACAATTATTTGTAATTTTTCATTATAGTTTATTAGACAGCTACCAAAATTTATAAACTTCAATAATCTTCGTTACATAATCTGTTGGCTCGATAAATATCGGAGCTAAAGAGCACGTCGGTTTATTATAACTAAAAAAAGGGTACAGGAAGTATTGCATTTTATTGACTATGGTTGTATGTCGTACGTTGTTAATGTTGTATGTTGTTAAATAACTGGTTGGACGGAGTATAATCTACATTGCTTCATAATTGCAATTACTTAATCTGTGTTGTAAATAACCTTTCACCATAAAAGGGTTATTACGGCAGTGTGTCCTTTGCATTTTCGTTTCGGTACAATCCTGTAGCAAAATTTACGTTTAAGTTTTACAATAATCGTATTATGTAGTTGTTGAA